GGATGTCGACGGGGGGAACGTCCAGACTAGCGGCGAGCTGACAAACAGCCGATCAGCTGTTTGTCGGCTCAGCGCGGCAGCAATGTAAATGTAAATGAAACCGCGATCATTTAAATCGCGGCTTCATTTACCTTTGCCTACAACCCTAATCTACATGCCTCTGCCGACAGAGGCATGTAGTGTAGACACAGCCTTAGAGTGAGTCAATGTGATGTCTCTATTGATTTTCTTAATTGTTAACACTACCCATTTACATACACAAGAAAAGCTCTTAAATAAACCAATATACAAAAGTGATTTCTTACAGGTAATTAGCATGTGAGGCATATCTAAGGCACATCACTTAAGTCATATAACATATTCTGATATGAAAATTAAAATTCACTTCTGCTGTATGAAGCCTAAAGTGCATGCTGAGGGGTTTGGTGAGCAAAAAATCCATCCCTTAGACCCTGGCTGAAGCATATACTAATTTATGTCCATGTATAAAGGCTATTGGCTCTGCATTTCAGCTTTAGACTGAATTCTCAGTTTCTCCCTTGGTCCACTTTGTCTTGTCCCCGCAAGCAAGCTCAAGCAAGGTTGGCATTAAAGAACTCTTTGACAGAGTGCATGGGGTGCACCTTGTTTGGTTTCCCTTCTGATGAAAATTTCCCCCTCCTGCTTCTTCAAAATGGGAAGTAAGTGGTGTTAATCTGGCTTCAAATCTTTAAATTTCATGAATATATATTGTGCACAAGGATCTTTGCTTGAAGACTAAGATGCAAAAAGTTGCTGGGAAAGAATTATTTCATGCTGATGACACTGCTCTTGTCTCTCATAGTGAAGTTCATTCACAAAAGCTCATGAATCACCTCCAAGATGCAAATAACTTTTTCACTGACTATTAGTGTGAAAAGATGATAGTCATGGGACAAGGCACAGAATGCCAGCCTTCCATCAGTGATACCAACCTCCAAACAGTGGCCTCATTTTGGGTATGTCTACACTACAGCGTTAATTCGAACTAACTTAGTTCGAATTAGTTAATTCGAACTAAGCTAATTCGAACTAACGCATCTAGAACTAAAAACTAGTTCGAATTAGCGTTTTGCTAATTCGAACTAGCAAGTCCACATTGAGTGGACTCTGAACAGGGCTTAAGGATGGCCGGAAGCAGTGACGGCAGGGCATCAGAGGAGGACTTAGAGCGTGGAGATGCTGTCTCAGGCTCGCCGAGGGCTGTGCTTAAAGGGTCCCGACTCCCACCCCAGACAGACAGTTCTCAGGGGTGCCCCGCTTGCAAAGCAGTCCTGGCTTGGAGTGCCCTGAGTGCCCACACTGGGCACATCACAGCACTCGGCCATCAGCCCGGCTGCACTTGCCGCAGGCTGCCATCTGGGGAGAGGGGGCAATTGGGGGGCTGCAGGAGAGCTTCCACCCCCAGAAGCCCACAGAG